CTGTGTTGGTTCGTCTCTCTTTTCTTCTGCCGGGATTCCTGCTGGGACTGTATTTGCTGGAAAAATTCAGGCTTCTCAGTCCAGACATCTTCAGTCAGCCTCTTGCTCCAAGGCTTGAAAGCCATGGGGTCAGGAGAGAGCTCGGCTGATGGAAATCCTTCTTTTCCCTCCAGCCTTGACAAAAGGTTCTCGCTGCTCCTGAGATGGCTTCCTAACCATGTCCAGAGGACTTTCCTCAGTTTTCAGCTACCTCAAATTGTCTTCTGCTTTCTGTCCCTTTCTGTCTTGAAATCGTTTTCCCTCTTGACTTTCACAATCTCTTAGTTTTTCTTCCTACCAACCTTACAACTTTTTTGTCCTGCATTGCTTACTCTGGAACTCCCAAGATCAAATTCTGGAATCATTCTTATTTTCATCCACCTTGACAATTTTAGTTGTCATCCATTCCCAAGTCTCAACCAACTTGATGGCATTGCGCCCAAAAGCTGCTTTGCTAGACCTTATCTTTCATCCTTGCTCCAAACCGTGTCTCCAATGAGATGAACTTGCAAGCGCCTGAAATTACATGGTTGAAGAAAACTCCGTCTCCTCCTTGGACCGATCTCTCTCTCCAACTTCCTTCTTCTTATTCTTCTGGTACTCCTTAAGTTATATATTGTCCTGGTAATAACCTTAAACTGTGGTTTATTCCTCTGTTCTTTACTTTTTTATGTTTCATCAGTCACAAAGTCCTGCTGCTCTTGCTCCATTGATTCTGCATCACAGAAACCAGCCTTCCTCTTGCTTTCTCATCTCCTTCTCCCCAATCTCTATCCTCATCGTGTTAAGACAAGTTATTATAGTCTTCTCAACAGCTCATGGCATTTCTCATTGACTGTAGATCCTAAGTGAACGCCTCCTATCTTGTAAAGACTCCATCAGTACCTCTTCTCAATTCATCATTTTGACTTGTGCTGTCCAATATGGTAGCCACTTGCCACATGTGACTCTTGAGCACTTGATTCGTGGCTCATCTGAATTGAGATGTACTGAAGAGTAAAATAGACAGACGCTGAAGAAATGCAAAGACTTAGTACAATAAAATGATGCAGAAGTGTATCATTAATAATTTTTTCACATTGATTACATGTTGATATGATATTTCGTATATATTGGGCTAAGTAATATACATTATGAGAATTATTTTCATCTGTTTCTTTTGACTTCTTTTCAGTGTGACTGCTAGAAAAAAATTTTTATTGAAGTATAGTTGACTTACGTTAATTTCTAGTGTACAGCAGAGTGATTCATTTATACATTGTATATATTCCTTTCCATAATTTTGCTAGAAAATTTTCAATTATAAATGTGGCTTACTTTATATTTTATTGGATAGCACTGCTTTGGACAATTTAATAAGCCTATTCTGAGCTAGGCAGGATGCAACCAATTTTTAAAAAGAAAAGACTAGTCCAGCTTCAGCCCGCCCCTTTGCAACCCAGCTAGAGGGGTAAGACTTTGAAAATCAATTATTGATGCAACCAATAGGCAAACACCAAATGACTGAGGAAGAAAATTAGCTTAAAGGAGAGAAGTGGTCAGGAATGCTTTTCCTGAAGAAGCGGAATTTCAGAAGATCCTTGAAGGACAGCTAGATTACTTTTCTGCAGCTGTGGAAGGAAGAGAAAGGCAGTCTGGGACAGAGGAGGCGGGAAGCGCTGAGTAGGCTTGGGGTAGATGTGTGTGCCGTTGTGTGGGGTGAGTGCCGTGCCCTGGAACTGGAAGGGACGCGGGTCTACACATCTCCCGTGCCTCTAGGCGCTCAGTCACCTCTGGAATGACTTCCTGACTGCTTTCACCTGGATGAGAAATTCGAAAAGCCGATTCAATTCCAAGTTCCAAGTAAAATTCAACTCCAAGTAAAGGCGTTGCATGATTCAGAAGCCTCTTGGTCCCAAAGGAATGAAGCCAGCAATGGTGAGTGCGTAGGTGATAGGGTCAAACTTTTAAGTTATCGAACTGAACCCTTTCAGGTCATACCGTCTGTGCCATATATTCATAAAGCTTAGCTAGAGTAGAATCCCCCACCCAGAAGTCTGAAAAAATATCTAAATTCCTATCTAGACTAAGTGTCTACTTAGTCACAACTTCTTGCACAGTGCTGTGAATTCCAAGGTGCAAAACAGGGGCTTCAAAATACTCATGTGGAAAATATTACTGTCTAGCACCTTCCACGGCTTCTCTGTAGCCTCATCAGAAAATTAAATTCTTTGAGATCAAGCAATGAATAGCAAATTAACCTCTGACAGTAGGGGGAAGCGAGAGAGACTGTCAGTTCCTTGCTCAGCACAACTTTGATGTCTTACTGTCTGGCTTGGGCTCCATCCCTTAAAAGATCTATGCTGTAAAAAAACCCTATGAGTTGGTATCATGTCCCAAAGACCTCAGGGGATGAGAGCTTCAGAGAGTATAGTTCTAAAGTTCCCATCTGTTTTGCTTTTATATTTGGATTGGCACGAATTGATGCCTCTCAGCAAATTAAGTGGTCTTTTTTGCCTTTTGTGTGCTAGACAGAGAGGTGGAGTCTGTTTAATGACGAGCAGTCTGGTCCGCTGAG